CGTTTCATCGTGTTTTACTTGCTTGAAAATAAACAAAGTTGTATCCGATCGTTGAGGAGGAAACGCTTGCGTGACGGGCCATCAAATACGTACAAGAGTACAAAACAATCAAATTCAACTTAGTTCCTCATTAACTTTGACGCAGGGGATGTGGGCAGTGAAGTGTACCATGACAACGCATTTTCAATAAACGAAACGAGTTAAACAATGATGTCTTAACTTTTGGCTAGGGATTACAAAACAGAAGCTGCCAAAAGACAAAAATCAAGCAAGATTGCTGATCGCAAAGAAACGGATAAGTTTGCAGTTCTTTGTAGTACTGCTTGGTTTGACTCAGGAATAAATCGCCGGTACGTGCTCGATATCATCTGTCATCGAAAGGAAGCTAGAAGAACATTTAACGACGACCTATGACGTCATAGCTAGGATCCTGACTCAATGCGTAAAAAGCGATTTCACCGAAGTTTCGCTTTAGTCAAAATTTCTTGTTTCACTTATAGACCGCTGAAATGATTCATCGAAAAGAGATCTACGTTGAAAGGCTAGGTTTGATGCCCCTCTCTGAAGAAGGCGGCTACTTCGGAGAAACTTATCGCTCACCTGAAACAGTACAAGTGGAGGAGAGAGAAGGAGAAAGCCGAAGTTTATTCACCACGATTTACTATCTGATCGTACCTGAACTGGGAGGCAAAAACTATTTTAATCGCAATAAGAGTGACATCACACATTATTTTCACGATGGATGGCCGGCTAAATATATTTATATCACACCGGAGGGCGACATTAAAGAATCTATCTTAGGTAGAGACATTTTGAAAGGCCATGTTCTTCAACTGAGGGTTCCTGGTAATTGTTTGAAAGCGGCTAAAATTCTCGTCGACGATGCTGGAGAATATGCAAAGTTTCCTGGTGAGGAACCGTTCACGTTGATTTCAGAAGAAATGTCTCCGGGCTTTGATTATAGAGATCGCTATGTACCGACTGCTTCTGAAGTGGAAGCTAAGTACCCAGACTTGTGGCCAAAGTTGGAAGAGTATTGTGCACCGGGCGAGGAATAATAGAACTGAATCTCCCCGAAAGGTTTACGTCGATTGAATCCTGTCTCAGCTTGCGGCGTCACCTGAAAAGAGACCGGTAGCTAGAACAGATCAGAGCGATATACGATGCATGCGATTTCTAAACAAGGCTCTCAGGTGACCCAGAGGTCTTACAGATGTCAGAATTTGTTTCTTAAACCTGCTTCTGTCATATCTTTGTAATTTGAACTTCTGACAGTCGCGTAGGACACTAGACGAAAGAGGTCATACTCAGCGCTGTATTAATTATAACAACCCGAGAGCGCAAGAGTAAAATGATTCTGATAAAAGTTCAGTGGCTAGATAATATTTATGTTATTTATAGCTAGATCTAATATATTTAAGAGCTAATATTTATGAATGAACTCAATTGTAAAGCAAAAATTCGATTCTCTGGCTCATTTAGCGTTCAGTCACTGTATTCATGGAT